TAGATTAACTTGCTAAGTGCATAGTCGGGGAATAAAGGTACAGAGATCTGGCAAATCCATCTAAACGGAAGGTGAATTGTGGGATCCCACCTTGGAAAAGCCCAGATCCTGGACTGCCGCTTGTAAGAGATGCCCATGAAAAGACTGAGGAGTCTGGTACTGTAACGGGGTTGTATTGTAATTACTGTTGTATCACTTGCACTCAACATTATTCGTACAGCAGAAAGACCTTTTAGAAGAAAACCCTTAAAGTGAAAATCTAGTTACTCATCACATCATTTAATGATGGCAAATAAACAGCTAAGGGCATCATGAATCAAATTTTGTATTTCCCTTATGACAGATATTTCCTGTCAAGTTCAAAGAAATGCACAGTTCAGCAAGACTCAACATTTAACTATGATCTAGAAGTAATCACATTCTTGCATCAGAAGCTTTGAATGTGTGGGTTAAGTTTAGTGCAGAAGAAAGTATGCCACAGGGGGGCTTATCCAGGGCTCTAGGTACACTTTACACACATTGTAAAACAGTACAGGACCTGACTTCTGGTTGCTAGTTATCTATGCTAACAAGAAGACCACAGCTCATTTCAATAAAGATACTTACAGATTTCCCTCTTTTAGTGCAAGTCTGTAGCTCCCAGTGATGCTATCAAATATGCACTGAGGTATGATCACACCCCACAAAACTCTATATATGTGCTGATCTGCCCAGTGAGGAAAAATGCTGCGCATCTGACTTGCTGCTACAGTTACTCAGATGCCTTTTGTTTCATTAAGGCTAATTTTTTTGCATTGTCGATAGGCTTCAGAATGGGGTTAAGTGCACTATGAAACTTAGGGTGTTACACATCATTCCCCAGGATGTGCTCTAAACCCAACTGAAGTTGGTAGACTGTGGTTGAAAGCCCATATTACTTGTGGGGGCTAGTGAAAAACAAGTGGTGTTTTCTGAGGAACCCATCGTAAATTCAAAATGTACGTATAATTTTATGAATATTGCAACTGAATCCATGTGAATTTGAACAATTAAATAAAAGCTTAGTTGTACAGAGAAATGTAGGGGAAAACTTGTCACTGAGAACTGGGGATTTATCAGTCCTTCTGCATTTCATTGTACAGCAGTTTTTAGAACCGAGACTAAACGGGAACCCTTAAACTCGAATGGCCATATTAATGTAGCTCAGTCCAATTAATTGTTTTACTCCCCTTGAAAGACTAATTAATATGAATTCTGTAGCTTTATTTCTACAAGAGATCAGCATCTGAAACATCCCACCAAGCTGTAAGCATGAAGCTGAAGTAATAATTTTTAATAAATGAAGAAAGACAACTAACTATTTTCTGGACAGGTAGTATTTTTCCCCACTTCACTGAAACTACCTATAAAAATACCTGTTAATTCAATGATCCCTGTTGTTCAAAACAGGACTAGTTTAACTGCAAAATCCCAGGTTGCTAATCTTGATCACTGACAAGCAGACAGTGATCTCCCTTAGACAGCAGAGCGTATATTTTTAAAGTCCATGTTCACCTCTAAGGAACTACCCTATGTAAAGGCTGGACAGGCCTCTGGGATAATTTGGGAATAGCTGATTCTGCATTTGTGCAGGGAGTTGGACTAGATGAGGGTTGGCCAGCCAGCCAGGGGGTACCACAAGTGGCATGGGCAGCCTCTACATGTGGTATGTGGCAGATCCATGAAGGGGGAAGGTGGCACCGCAGCAGATAGGGCCAAACATAGGGGGAGTGCAGGGCTAATTTGTGCCACACATGCCAAAAAGGTTGGTCCCCAGTCGACTAGATGAAAGTTAAGGTCCTTTCCAAGCCGTATGTTTCTAGGGACTAGAACTTGAAACTCGCTTCTCTGCTAGGAACTAGCAAATGACACAGCTGGAGGAAGTGTAGGTTGTAGCCGTGTTGGTTTAAGGACACAGGCAGATGAGGTTCTTTGGGTGAATCTGATATCTTTTATTAGACCAACTTAAATAGTTGGAAAAATGTCTAACTGTTTTGAACCCAAAAGCTTGCTTAGAGGAAGAAACCAGTTGGTCTAGTGAGAAGTGACAAGGCAGGAATGTCTTCCACCAAGAATCCCATTGGACTGTTGAATATGCAAGGGGGTGTGATTTGGTGGGTTTTGTGGGGGAGGATTTGGGGGTTTTTGGGGGGGTGTGGAACTAAGAAAATAACTTTCTTGCAGCAGCACCTTCCTATGGATAAATATATGTGCAAAAATCCAAACGAAAAGACATGGATATAAAAAATTCTGAGCACGTTTCTCCTTTCTTAGCTGCTAGCTTGCATATTCATGGTAGAAATGACCTGAGGGTCATATTATGATAACATTAAGCTGAAGTTGATGGGACTTAAAAAATAAATAAATAAAGTACAGTTTAATGTGCCTTACTCCTCAATATGTGTGCACACTGCAATCCCAGCATTGTAAAACTTCTTGTAGTTTTAAGAATTGCCAACCTTCCTTAACAAATTTTGTAGGTCATGAAGTGCCCAGCACATATTTAATATATAGCTGACTGCAGAATTACCCAAGTGTAATTGCTTTAAGTTTTGTGCACAAAATCATTTCGGGTAATAATTTTTAGGACAATGCCCTGGAATTAAAAGAATCAACTAATGATGGAGTAAGTCTGGTTAAGACTCTCTCCCAAGAATTCAAGCATGCTTGGCCTCAAAGGGAAAGATCAGGAAGTTAGGAGTTTAGAGAATTGGATAAGCCTCCGACAGTTCCCCCTCTTCAACTCGAGCTTTCTTTGATTGCATTCCTTAGCTCAATTCCATAATATGAATGCACCCCTCATTTGGGCATGATACTGCAGCACTGCTCAAGGACATCACAATCCTGCCTCACTCCCTAGCTGTGTCCTTACTGGGGGCAAAAGCAGCTTTGTCTCTTGGTAGAGATTGTGTCTTGTGACGACTGCAAGAATAAATAAGAATAAGCAAGGAAATTGCTATTGCGCAATACTCAAATACTGTTCTGCATGGCCAGACATTGCCTTTTTTCGTGATATAAGTTCAGAGCAACTTATTAACTTCATTTTCTGGAATTGTACTGGAATAACCCACGTGGGAACATAAGAGTCTGTCCAGGGTGGTAAAGGGACACTACAATTTATTTTACTGTTTTACTCTTCAATGTGAAACCTTTGCATCAGCCAACTAGCCTCTGTAATTGCATTCCCCTTTAAAATTTGCTGGCAGTTCCAAGAATTACAGACACAATGCACGGTTCTAATTCTCTCTTAACACAGAACGACACAGACAGGCAAAAGACCCCACTAATTTGTATGTCTTTGACCTGCTTCATGCAGGTCTGGAGATAAGGGGCTTCATCTTTCTATTATCTTGTAACTTCTTATCTTGCACTCTATTTGCATTGGAGGAAAGGGCATTTATAGAATTGGGCACATTGTAGCCAAAGATTGCAAACTTATTGTCCAATCAGACTTACCTCTGCTTCCCCTCTTTCCCCTCCCCCCCCCCAAAAATAAACAAATGTTATCACAAAGTTGTTATTCCATTACTACCATAAAATAATACAACAAAAATATTGTTTGCTACAGCTGACAACCTGATTAACTGGGCCTGCTGGAAAGGCTGCTCATTTGATCAAAATTTCAATATCCATGGATAAAAAATGAAAATAGCTAACTGGGGATTTGTCCTTGGAAACAACATAAAGAAACAGGAGAGGATCTTGTTTTCTTTTTATATTCAGAGATGGGGCTTCCCAGTAATTCAGCAAAACCATCACTCACTTTATGCACCATTATCTATTAGGAAAATGTTTGAAACTGCCATATATAAAAAGACAAATGTATAAACTAGATATGCAGCTTTGGATAATCTGAGAGGGGGAGAGATGGCATGTTACATAAAGTTAATACTTTTAACACTTCATTTCAACTGCTGAGTTCCTGATTTTAGCAAAGCATTCCTCTTTCAGCATGTGGCGCTCTCTCATTTTAAAATGGTTTAAATATTGTTTCTAGTCTTATACAAAAGAAAAAATATTTGATGTGCTTAAGATATGTCAAAGTCCTACCTACACATTTTGATTTCTAATTGAAGTATTTTGCTTGACTCAAAGCAAATGCTTTGACTCTTTGCAATTGCCAGCAAACAAACAAGTCTGTTAGTTTCCTAAGTTCAGAATAGTTTCATGTGTGGAGAGGAGCTATTTCCAGGCTTGTTTGTGGCCAGCAGTGCTACTGGTGTTTTGCCCTATACACTGCAGGGATGCGAGAAGACAGCCCCTGTCCATCTGGGGAACACAAACTGGAAAGTTTCTTCAAGGTAATTGAGTCCAATTTACTGTTGTTGTAGGTGACCTGAGGAGATGCCTCTTGGGGATCTGCTTTTGTAAACTAATCAATCTCTGAATTAAAAGTGGCTAAGTTTCTTCCCCCTTACTATTCCTATTAGAAGGCTATTCCAAAGTCTCATTGCTCTGATGTTTGGAAACCTTCTAATCTCCACACTGAAGTTCTTCATGAACAGAGACAGTTTGCTTAGGAGGAAAAAAAAAATACAATCCAAGCGTTGCAAAATGAGGAAAGATGAACAAAATTAGAGGATGGGGGACAACTGGGTATAAACCAGGGGCATGCAGATTTCCCCTATTTGGGTATTAAACCAGCACTGGACTGGAACTGTGCCAACATACCATATTTCCATGCAGGAGATGAGGGCAGTTGCAAACCCTACTGAGCTGCGTATCAAGCATGGGGCAATTATAGTAAAAGACTAGGTAATAGGTTCTAGTAGCTGATTTAATTCACTTTCTACCAGATGCAAAGATTCAGGTAATGTTCCTGTGTCACTAGTGGTTAGGAGAAAAATAGGAGCAGTAATGACATGATGTTGGGGTGCTAGGTGCCTGAGGAAAATGAGGAGGGGGGGGGTGGGAAATGAATCATCCCAGAAGGAAAAAAGACCAAAACCAAAATATCACCCCTGCCCCTTCTTTCCTTTCAGATGGACATGCTATTGCTGGTCTTTTTCAAGGCCATGAAAACAGATTCACTGATTCTACTGACATCCCCATCATGTTAGGAGATTAAAGAAAACTCTGTATCAAGGTAAGAGAGAAATGAATTACAGGCTAGATGAAAGCATTTGTTTATACCAGTGTCTGAAAGTCTTTTGATTGTGGAGTCAGGCTCGAATTCCACAGACCTTTCATGTAAGTGATGCAGCAGTAAGAAATCATGCCCAACCCTTTTTTCTTCCTGATGCTTTTGCAATATATGCATACGCAGCTTTTCCAGCAACTCACAATTCATCATACTTTTAAAAAGGCTGACACTTGTCACATGGTATTTAGGAGGTACTAAATAGTTGGAACACATGTATGAGTTGGTTCTTCATTTAGTCAGCCATACAGGGAACAAGACTTTTCTATAATGTGGATTTTTACCTCTCCAAAAAATGCACTTGGGCTGCTTGGGTTTCTACTGCATTACTAACATTTGTCATTCCTTCCCATGCTCCAAACTATAGACACAACCAGAGAATGGATTCATTTTTAATGTATTTCCAGCTGAGTTCTTGACACTTGGCTGTCAGACCCCCTTGCTTACAGTGGTAGCCCAGTTTCTTTCAATGTGGAAATCCACTTCAGTGTTGAGGGCCTCACCACCACAGGCTCTGTACAGCTACTCCTATAGTTACATCCTTGAAAAATGTGACTTTAAGCAAAATGACGTTAAGAAAATCCCAATTACATCACAGTAGTTACCTACTAGCAGCGGCAGCCAAACAACGTTGTAACCAACCATTGCCCAACTTCTTCAAACAAGTATGTTCTCTAATAGATCAGCAATGTAATAACGTCATCCCAGTTAACATTGTTTTGTTAGGTGAGGATTACCTGTATGCTACAACAGATAGTCCCACAGACATACAGGCCGTACACAGAGGCTCACTAGTGTACATACGTGCTGAGAATAACTTGTCCCCGATGCCCTTCCCCCCTCTATTGAAAGACCAGTGTCCAAGAAAAAACAGTATGTAAACACATTGACATCATCCAGACCATGAATGTTTTAAAACAGGAAATCTTTTGTTGTTAATAACTCCAAATCCCGCCATCATTGTTACTTAAAAACACAGCAATGCCCAGAAGACAGAAATGGTTATTTGGGATTCTCCTAGATGCCTTTTGTTTCTTCAACCTACTTAGCTTTTACTTGGTATTTCTGTGTGTTGACATGCCCCAACTATGCCTAGCATTTCCTTCTGGTTCTGGTGGAGATAAGCTGCTGGCTGTTGATGCAGTCTCCATCTACTGCCCTGATTTTTTTTTTTTTTTTTTTTTTTTTTTTTATATGGCTGGTGGTCAGGCTTCCCACTTTTTCCCTTCTTTTTTTTTTTTTTTTTTTTTTTTTTTTTATATGCACTTGGTTTGTGAAGGTACTTGATTTCCTGTCTGATGTTTGGTAGACCCCAGGTGGCTATAATTGTTGTTGCTGAAAATTCTTAGCTGTTCAACTTCTTTTTTTTCTCCCTGTATAGTTTTGTCTCTAAGTTGTTGAGTTTAGTGAATGGAGAACCTGAAATACTACCACATTTTCTTTTCTCTCACTGTCGGATATGCATGCATGTACAGTAGGGCTGCGCAAAGCTCTGGTCCCTGATTGGATTTGGTGGCCGAATCTCTGAATCCAAATTGGATCAGAGGACCCTTTAATCCCTCCAAATCGATTCAGACATAGAGACGGGTTTAAATATTTTTTTTTTTTTCTATGTACTGCTAGGTAGCAGGGGCTCATGAATGCTGGGGCACATGAAGGGTCCCACAGAAGCATGGGGGGGCTCCCCAGCACACTCAGCAGCAGATCTGGAAGTGCACCAGAAGCACTTTGGTGCCCCCCCCCCCCCCAAACACAGTGACTGGTGCCTCCTGGGTCCAGGGGGGGGGGCAACTGGGGTCCCCCTGTGGCTGATCACCAACCCAGGGGCCTCCCCGCATGCTCCCCAACTGACCCATCAGTGTCTTTTGGCAAACACTTTTTTGAGTTTGCTACTGAGTACGTGGAGGGCCCCCCCCCCCCCCCCGCCCCGTACTCCTGTGAGATGCTCCATGCACCCCAGCATCGCAGCATTCATGAGCCATGCACCTTGAGGTATGTAGAAAAATCGTTTAATGCTTTGTTAATGTCTGAATCGCTGATTCTCTGAACTGGCATCAAATCTTCATATTCGGATTTGGCTGAATCATATCGGGGACAGTGATCCAAATCAACAAATAGAATCTCCCTGTCCCTGATTCGGGCCGAATCAAATAGGGCCTGCTTCGCACACCTCCTAATGCACAGGAGAGAGAGAATTCCGGTCTTCTTGGAAATGTAATCTTATATGATCCAGAAAAATTTCATGTGTTTTAAAAACAAAGGCACAGACCACTAAAATGAAAACATGGGTTCAGTTCCCATGTTATTGATTCAAATAGTGAGATGACCTTGCTTTTGCTATCTATACAGAAAATACTTTAGCCCTGGTAAAATAAAATAGAACATGGAGGTATTTTTACAATATTACTATAGATTATTACAATACAACATCTTTTTGTTCACTACACATCATTATACTTAAATAGTTTTAAACATGAATAATTCGTAGTTACATGGTGTTCTTTTCATAAACAGAGAATTAATAATTACTTGATTGATGAGCTATCTTTACGTTCTGCTTCAAAGACTGCACTGTCTCTGGCTTGTAGTTCAAGGGGGTAATGCAGAGCTAAAAAGTATAAAAGGAAAAGCAGTTTTCTGTTTCTCCTGTAGAGAAAGGGAAAAGTCCAGCTCTGGCACCCTTAACTTATTATAATGTTGCTGTACTGGGACTCATGTTATGTTGTGTTTGGGATTTTTGTGTTATGTTTTACTTTTATTTTCTCTTTTTAATGATGGTGAATGTAAATTATGAAAGCTGTAGTAACAGGAAAGCGGGTCACCCGGAATTGCATAGTTATGGTCTCCATACAGAGAGCACAAATTTAGTGAATGAGTATGTGACAGACAGACACAGACTCTGATTGGGAGACACAAAAATCTGGAGCTTTGGTTTGTTTTGGGTTTCCTGGGCTTGGTGCTGTGGCAAGGAAGTCCTGGCGCTCGGAGCAAAGCCTGCCCTGTGCACAGATTTTGGGGGGGCACCCCCCCCACAATGAGCTGCTTGAGGCTCCACTCCACACTCTGCCCCAGCTGGGAAGCACTTGTTAGCACCCCTTTACTTCAGTGCCCAGGGTGGTCACCCCAATTGCCCCCCTACCCCACTTTGCTACAGCACTGCCTGTGCTTCTTGCCAAGAAATTCAGACCCTGAGTGGTTTTGCGTCTGTAGGACCAGGTCTGATAGAATAGGAACTTACTTTAGCAATAGCTGAGCTGCTAATGCAGTCTTCTTGGGACCAGTCTGGGTAGCAACTGAGCTGGAACTTCTAGCAATGTAGATCTAGACCTGGCAGCATCTATAGGACATGGTGATGGTGTTGACTTTTTTTTTTTACTGGACACCCTGGGAGCTGCTGCCTGGGAGCTGATTGACTAATGCTGAGTGTCTTTGGGTTCATGAATGAGGTACAGGTGGATAGGCATTGTGATTTGGCAGGCTTTGGACCCTGCCAAACCAAGCAATTGATAACTGGGACTGGGAGGCTGGCCAAACCCTTCAATCACTTAGTTCATGCTCCCAAGGGCTCCTAGGTGAGAAGCAGTAGCTGTAAAGGTGATCTTGAGTTGAAATGGCATGTTCCTACAAATTGAGTGTGTCTAAGGCTTTAGTTGAAGGTCTTCAATGACTGCTTCTCATACAGGAGCCCTTGGGGACATGAACTGTAATGACCATTCAGCAACAGGCAAACAATAGCCTTTCTATGCTAATGATACCTGGAAAACAGATTGTGAAAAGGTAAATTTAAAAACATGCTTTTCAATATTGGAAAAACAGCCCTAGTCAGAATTAGGTCTATATAGCATAGCCTGGTCTCAATTCCTGAAGTGTTTACTGATGTCTAAAGGGCAATGTTTATGATGGACAATACGCACTAATGAAGTTGAACATGTCAGGACATTTACCTCTGTATAAACAAACTACTCCAATCAGTGCAAGAGAATTGATGGCATGACCTTGCATTATTATAGCTGTACTATAAGTATAGTCTCACATTTCAGTAATCGTTCTATAATTTAACATCCTCTTCTGACCTGCAAGTGTTAAACAACCCAAGTGTGGATTAATAGGCCTGTAAGTGAAAGCATGAAAACAGGCACTCTCAGATGCATCAAGAATCATTTTTATAAATAACTGAGATGGGGAGATGACAGAACATTTGCTTTTGCAAAAGATGTCAGAGTATAGATTGAAGTACAATTCTTATGCAGATACTATGAGCAGGTTTATACGAAAATAAAAGTACCTTATTCTTTTGGAGAAATCTGGCTTGAAACAGTGAAATCTGCATTACAATAGGCGGCCCTACTGACCTTCTTGTCAGCAGTGGCTGAGCAGTCCTTGATCATATAGCACGACTTAAAATCTCTTGGACATGCACCATGTTTTCTTTTCTTTGTTAAAGGATTTTATGCTGGGAAGAAAACGTTTCATTTTGCTGTCACAAATCTTATGTCCAACAGCTTATAAGCATAATTAAATTATACAGGGCCTCAGTTCCTTACACAGTCTTTTTCGTGTTTTGCTTCAGGTTTCTCTTCTTGTGATCAAAGGCTGAATACAAAGTTCAGATAGACACAAATAGGTCGTCTTCTCCTGGATAGCTGCGGTGGTATTGTGCAGCTATAGTTACTGCTTGCTAGATCTTTAACAAGCTTTCATTTTACATTCAGAACACACACAGGTTTTCTTTGCTACCAACATCAACACACACAAGCAAAAATACAAAACATTCCCTCCCTTCCCCCAAAAAACTAAAAGGAGTGGTGGGGGGGGAACCCTTAACTGAATTCAGCTCATAGCAGTAGTACTTTTGGTAACCTTCAAATACAGCTTCTGCGGACAAAGAACACTTCAGTCTTTAGGAAGTCATCCTTATTAAGTAACCCTTTTTTAGATTAAAAACC